AGCCGTCCGTCATCGAGCCGTCAGTCACCGAGCCAGCCGTCGTCGGTCACCGAGACGTCGGTCACCGAGCCGTCGATCGTCGAGCCGTCGGTCACCGAGCCGTCGGTCACCGAGCTGTCGGTCACCGAGCCGTCGGTCACCGAGCCGTCGGTCACTGAGCTGTCGGTCACCGAGCCGTCAGTCACCGAGCCATCAGCCGTCCGTCATCGAGCCGTCGTGAGCTGAGCCGTCGTGAGCCGAGCTGTCAGTCATTGAGCCGAGGATTCATCTGTAGGTCACTGCGTCGCCTCGGACAAGAAAAACACTCATCTCCAGAACGACAAACATTCACTGTTCAAACCCTCAGAGACGGGACATAAGTGTAGCGCTAAGACAGGTCCCTCATGCAAATGAGTCCCCGTGGATCAATGAGGAAAGTCGGTGTAAATAAAGGTTGAATGAAAAAAAGACGTTGGACCGACGTGTCTTTGTTGGACGTCACCTGGAACATCCTTTGATCTGATCTTCTCTTTCCTGCAACAACACAGTTAATTCAACATGCTCCTCAGACGGTCTTCAGAGGTTCTGGTTCTGAGCGGGTTAAAGTCCATGTTGTTCAGTTTCTTGTTGTGTCCTCAGACTCGGGCTGCTCCAAGCCCCCCCCTCGCACCAGAGAGGTCCTGATCAACGGGCAGACGGTGAAACTGAAGTACTGCTTCACCTGTAAGATCTTCAGGCCGCCGCGAGCGTCGCACTGCAGCCTCTGTGACAACTGTGTCGGTCAGTGAGGGGGGGTCCACTTGTACCGGCTCTAGCTGGTTCTTCTAGAGTTCTTCTGAGTTCTCCAGATGTTCCCTCTGGGCCTGGTTTGTAGCCACGGTCTGAAAGTGTCTGTTTTCAGCAGCTTCTTGGTTTTCCTCCTCAGAGCGTTTCGACCATCACTGTCCCTGGGTGGGGAACTGCGTCGGACGGAGGAACTACCGCTTCTTCTACCTCTTCATCCTCTCCCTGTCCTTCCTCACTATCTTCATCTTCGCCTTCGTCATCACGCACGTCATCCTCAGTGAGTAACGGAGGCGCCGCCTCCTCACACCGAGCCTCGTGGATCCGTTCCTGCGGGGTTCTTCTCCCGCGACGCCGTTTGAGACACGAGTTCACGGAGAGAAATAAAAATAACGTGTTTCCAGATTATATGAAAAATGATTTAAAGTTCCAACAAGAAGCTGAAAAACATCTGAACCGTACGTGGACTCGGTCCAAACCCGAGGTCCAACACAACCTCCAGAACCCGGTCTTTGTGATGTCTCGTTTATTCAGTTTCAGGTTTATTTTGAAAAGAAAACGTTCAGGTTTGGTTTCAGAAACGAACTTCTACTTTTTGGGGTGGGGGGTGTTGGTTTGAACTCGGACTTGTTACAGATCTCGACTCGTTTGTTGGACCAGCAGCCGTTTGTCTCATGGGGTTTCAACCTTTATCCAAGTGTCAACCAGCTGAAACCCAAAACTGGTTCAAGGTTGGAGCTGTTCGCCGTTTGTGTGGTTCAGTCTGATTCCAAGTGTCCGTCAAACCTCGGGTGGTTTTCAGAAGGGAGGCGTTCCTCCTGGGTGTTTGCTCGTACCTCTAGTTTTCAGTACAATTCTGTAGAACAGGACCGTGTATGATTTGGGTTTTTGTAACGCTGCCTCAGTCAGATGAACTCCTGACTCGGATACTCAGCGGGTTTTAACCACAGAATCAACAAATGACTGATTTGTTGATTTAAAAGGATCGAGCTGTAAATAAACTAGACTTGTTGTTGTTAAGAGGGTTTAACTGAACTGGTCTGTGGACTTGATTCAGGTTCTAAGAACTCTGTTTCCTCTCTGTGTTTCCTGCAGGATCCAACCGAACCGGTTTCCTGAGCGCGCTGAAGGACAGTCCGGCCAGATATCCTTCACTGTTTAAAGATGGGTGATGCTTGTGTGTCTGTTAGCAAAATATCTCATGGACGAGGTTACAGATTAAAAGAGTACTCTGAGTCATCGTTGGATCTAAAACTACAACTAGTTAACCCAGTTCAAGATGGCCGCCTCAGCTGATCGACCTGAGCCAGCACAAAACTCAGCTCTGACACTGAGGTGGTGGTAGCTGAGAGTCATCCTGCAAACACTGAGGGCCGACACCTTCAAATACACATTCACTCTAATGAGGAACGTTCAGAGTCGACTGAAGATCAAACACTAAATACCACACACACACACACACACACACACACCAACACACACACACAGGTTTGTTTTGCTATCTTTATGGGACCTTTCCGTTGACTTCCATTCATTTTTCATTCATTTCTCTAGCCTAACCCCGACCTTTACCCTAAACCTAACACGTCCTCAATTCACATCTTAGTCCTAAACGTAACCCCTAACCACCAATGGGACTACTCCTCATGGGGCCCGGGCTTTGGGCCCCATGAGGAGTAGGTGGTCCTCACAACGTAGTATAAGTTGGAAAAATGGGCCTTACAAAGTAGCGTAAACAAGGACACACACACAGAAACACAAAACGACCCCCCACCCCCCGGTCTCTGGACTGTGTTCTGGTCGGTCTCTGGTTCTGTCTCCATCAGATCAATAAGTCCTCTGCCAAGGTCAGAGTGGTTCTGACCCAAATACCACAGAACTTCCGGGGTCCAGCTGCTGGTTCTGGTCAGTCGGTTCTTTGGGTCGTGAGGAATGTTCAGTCTTTAGATCCTGAGTTGGACCTTGACCCGGTTCTGCAGCGTTCTGGAGGTGCTGGTCTGTTTCTTCTCCGTCTGGTCCATCGTTGGCCTCTCGGGGTTCCACACCTACCTGATCAGCTCCAACCAGACCACCAACGAGGACGTGAGTGCACCGGGCCCAGGACCTCTGAAGTCCTGTTGGTTCCTCCAGAGTCCTCTGTGACCCTGATCCTTATGTCCAAATCCAGATCAAAGGAACCTGGTCCACCAAGCGAGGGAAGGAGAACTTCAACCCCTACAGCTACGGAAACATCCGGACCAACTGCTGCGCTGCTCTGTGTGGACCCCTGCCACCCAGGTACCCCCACAGGACCGGGACCAGACCTGGGGCCAAAACTAAATACAGGACTAGACACTAAACTTGGATCAAGACTTTAGATCAGGTTTAATGAAGACCATCAGACTAAGCAGGACTAGATTCAGGACCTCAAATGCTCCAAACTCTGAGCCTAGACTGAGGTTTGGACTAAAACCAGGACTCTGGACTGAGATCAGAACCACAGCTGAGACTGAAGGTGAAAAATAAAAACAAAGTTGAATCTGGACTCTGGACTACAGTCTGGACTGGATCAGGACTAGATCTGGACCTGAAGTCCTGAATCAGTTCATTTCTAGATAAACAGGATTTCATGTTCTGTTTTATTCATTTAAACACATTAAAAACATTTTAATTCAGTAAATTGAACTGGTTTATAGAACAACAGTTTGTTTGTTTGTTTGTTTGTTTGTTTGTTTGTTTACTGAAGGAAACCAGAGAAGAACTGAGCTTCGGTTCTGTTTTAAAGACCCATCTTCATCTTTGTGTCAGTTTGATTGACAGGAGGGGACTGATCCGGGCCGACGCCCCACAGACCGTCTCCCAGTCCAACGAGACCGGCAACGGTGGCCACGCCTCCACTCAGCTCCACGGTCACATGGTGGGCGGAGCCAAACGGCCATCAGCGCATGTTGTGTTTTTTGTGTTGTTGTTATGGTGTAATCTTTGTTGTTGTTGTTTTAGCTCTTGTTGTGGTGGTAGTGTTATTGTGATTATTTTGTTGTGCTTGTTGTTGACTTGTAGTTCTTTGTTGTGGTTGTTTTAGTTTTAGTTGTTGTGGTAATTTTGTTGTTGTTGTTGACATGTGGACCCTCAGTGCAACCAGGATCAGTGCATCCAGAGCACCAAGTTCGTCCTGCAGGCCGCGGCCACGCCGCTGCTCCACAGCGACCCGGTGGTCCTGGCCCCGCTGCCCGGGAAAACCGCCATGCTGGGGGGCCCCTGCCCCTACCTGGCCCCCCCGCAAGCGTCCCTTCCGTCCTGTGCCGGAGATGTCCTGACCCTGAGGGACGCCGCCGTGGACGCCCACTGCCACCATCACCTCCACCTGCACCACCACCATCACTTTGTCAGCCCAGAAGAGACGCCCTGCGGGACTCCTCTGGGCGCCCTGCCGTGCCCCGCCCACCTGCACCTGCAGGCCCCGCCCCACCCGCCCGTCCTGTATGACCCCGTCACTCAGGACGCCCTTCACGAGGACTCGGTCAGAGGACTGGTGAAGCTGAGCTCCGTCTGAGCTCCACGACACATCTGTACAGAAAAACAGCTGCCGGTGGACAAACGACGGATTCAAACGCCGACACGGAAATGTCCCCCGAAGCTTCGAAAGACACGAGGACGTTTCAGGACACTTTGTATTTGTCTTCTTTAGAATGAAAACAAGTTTTAAACTTTCAGAATCACAACGTTTGAATCTTTAAAAAGTGCAATGTGTTGTCATCATCGTATCCAGACAGCACCTCGTGGAGCAGCTGGTGGAGCAGCAGGTGGAGCAGCTGGTGGAGCAGCTGGTGGAGCAGCTGTGCAGGTGCCCGGGGAGCAAGTAGGGATTACTGCTAGGTGTCTTGCTCAGAGACACCATGACACGTGGGACTGAACCTGGGTCCCGAGTCGGCTGCCTGCCTCCACCCCGTCTCGGCCCCAGCAGGAAATACAAAAACATTTTCTGATCAGTGAACGGGACGCTGTGGGACGTCTTCAAACACTTCAGGGGACAAACTGCTTCAGGACCAAAGTTGGACGTCGTCCTCGTGACGAAGACAAACGTCTCAAAACGGAGCCGGTCTTCTTGACGTCTGTCTTCACACTGCCAAAACAAAATGTCCAGTTTTTACTGATCAGAACTGTCTTTACTTCATGCAGTGTTCCGGTCCATTCTGGTGATTTTAACCTCTCAGCTGTCACAGTCCACCCTGTGCTTTTATTCTGAAGGTCTGTGTAAACAGTTTGGACCCGGTCTTTGTGTCAGAATCGGTCTGTGGACTTATTTTTTACTGTTACTGGTTTAAAGCAGATTAAAAAGTCAAAACAAGCTCAATAAAACACTTCCTGCCTGTCATTTTACAAAATAAAAGCTTCGCCAGCAGGTGATGCTTCACGATTGTCTCAGTCTCACCTTCACCTGCGTGAAACAGATTCATGTTAACTCACCTTGTTCTCTGATTTTGCCCATTGATGAAGTCTTAGCTCTTGGTTTTAGGCTCAACTGATTTACTTTTACTTGTGAAGCTCCACCGGGTCGTGGTGCCTGAAGGATCTTGGGGTCAGGCCAGACACTCAAGGAAAAGTGCCCCCCACCTTGGACGTGGGTTACCGGGGGCCCACCCTGCAGCCAGGCCTGGGGGAGGGGCTTATTAACGAGCGCCTGGTGACGGGGTCTCTGCCCATGGGGCCCGGTCGGGCTCAGCCTGAACGAGTAACGCGTTTGCCTTCCTGTGGGTCCACCTGGTTAGAGACACTGCACTGGAGTGGTCCAGATCATATCTACAGCTATGGTGAACATGCTCCTCTCACATGTGGTGTCCCACAGGGTTCAGTTTTAGGGCCTCTTCTCTTTTATTTATTTTCACTTTGTTCCATTTTTTCACAAACACAGAATTTCTCTTCACTTGTGTGCGGATGTCAGGTTTATGTCCCTGTAAGAAGAAGGACTCGTTCTCCTCCGAACCAGTACAGAAATGGGTGGCTCTGAACTTCTTGCAGTGGAATGAGAAGAATGAGGTTTTATAACATCCACTGGCACCCCCGTGTAGATCTGCATTCCTTGACTCAATATGTGAAGCCAGTGGTCACAAATGTGGGGCGTCAAATTGGATACTGATCTTAAATTTGATCATCAGATCAGAGCAGTGGTTAAATCCAGCTGCTTTCAGTTAAGGCAGATGGCTGAAGTCAAGCTAACACTAGAAAGATGTTTGAGACAGTGTCATCACCACATGGCTGGATTACTGATGGTGGGGGGGTCAGTGCTTCCTCTGCTGTATGTCTTTAACTGGCTCAACAGAAACATGAACACAAGATTTCTTCTGTTTTAGCCTCGCTGCACTGGCTCACAGAGCTGAACCCCTAAATGTCCACGTGACCGTGTGACTGGGAGGAACGGCCTCTGGTCTGAACCCGAGCGGTGTTCTGTTGTTGGACCTCTGTGCTACTCATAGTTTGTTCATCATGAACACCATGTTCTTCTAACAACACCATGTTCTTCTAACAACACCATGTTCTTCTAACAACACCATGTTCTTCTAACAACACCATGTTCTTCTAACAACACCATGTTCTTCTAATAACACCATGTTCTTCTAACAACACCATGTTCTTCTAACAACACCATGTTCGAACATGAGGGAATCCATAAGTGCACTTGGCACCAGGTGGACCTAGGTCGTAGATCGATGATTGACTTTGTAGTCGTGTCATCTGATTTGCGGCCGTTTGCTTCGGACTCTCAGGTGAAGAGAGGAGCTGAGCTGTCAGCTGATCACCACCTGGTAGTGAAGTGAGGCAGCTGAACTTCAACCACATCCCAGCTGAGGCGGGGGGGACACGGAGTCCGAGCCGTGTTCCTCTGCCTTTAGCTGTGGCCTCAAGGTTGTCGGTGCTTCTCGCGGTGGCCATCCTCAAACTCGGTGGTGGACACCCCGGGTTAGGGAGTCCTATCAGGCCTTGTTGGCTCCTACGACAGGTCGGGCCAGCTGTTTCTAGTATAAGGTAATTTCTACAAACCTTTGTTCTTGTTCGTCTTTAAAATAATTTCTCTGAACTGGTTGGTTACCGGTTCAAATCCCAGCCCAGGACCTTTCTGGGTGGAGTTTGCACGTGGGTTTTCTCCGGGTGCTCCTGTTTCCTCACACAGACCAAAAGCATGTTAGGCTGATTGGTGACTCTAAATTGTCCCTAGGTGTCCCTGTGATGAATGAAAGACCTGTCCAGGTGTCCCTGTGATGGACAGGAAACCCATCCTCCTGGGTGTCCCGTCTCTCTCACAGTGATAGCTGGACATGGGCACCAGTGATGCCCCCATGACCCGGAAAGCAAGTAAAGTTAATGGATAGATGGATGGATGGATGGATGGATGGATGGATGGATGGATGGATGGATGGATGGATGGATGGATGGATGGATGGATGGATTGATGGATGGATGGATGGATGGATGGATGGATTGATGGATGGATTGATTGATGGATGGATTGAT